AGCTAATACATTCTTAAATTGTAACTTGGTGGATGAATATTTTTTCGATCGAAATAAACTCTTGGTCTCAGAAATATTAATTGAACGTTCTAAGACTATGAACGAAGAATATCGAACATTTTCCTTATTATAGTGATCCCTTGTTCATGAATCTTAGAAATATTAATTGATTATACAAACGAAGAGTGAAGTAAACACAATTTTATTGACTATCGTTCAAGACTCATGATTCGTATTTTATAATCTGCACAAACGATGAACGAAGACAGGACGGTTCTGAAGTGGTACAACGAATAAGATTGGAAGTTCGATAACTAATTGGCAACTTCGAGACTTCTCGGGGAACTGGTTCCGACCCTTTTCAAAATGAATGATCGTTTCGCCGGCTCGTGGCTTAACATTGTAAATGTTCTTCGTATAATTTTGTTGAACGGGAAGAAATATAAGCCGTATAAAAGCCCCGTAAAGTCAAGAGTCATAGGGACGGAGGCACGAGATGGGTCATAAACCTGTGAAGAAACGCGTCGAGGCCCGAAGAGAAACCAGCCTCTGTTTCTTCTCGTCCTTACGTCTCCCCGAATTCTCTATGGACTTGATTTTAATCCGTCCACCGACCACCATGTAAAACGTTAAATTAAGTATTACAACGATTATTCCATGAGTTATCAATACCGTAGTCTTCGTAGCCCACGGTATATGATTGACTTTTTGCACTCGGTGCATGGAGGAAAAGAATGGAACGGAATATTTTTCAGGCCCGGCCGCGACAATTGACGTTCGGGTGGGTGTTATCGGTTACTCAGGTCGCGGTGTTAAGAAGCGTGGAGGGAACAGGATGAACGGAGATTTAATCGAGCAGATCGGTCGGTACCAGGGCGCGTGCTACCACGTATACTTCGTGACCCCTTCATACGCAATAAATCAATTATCGCTCGTTAGCTAGAAAAATGTACCTTCAATCGAATCACGTTACTTAACCTCGAGTGTGACCAACGGTGTACACGCGCCCGGAACGCAATAGGGCTGTACGCTGCTTCGCATCGATCTCGTATTTAAATCGTTTATCGTTGATCGTCAGTCAGAACGTTGAAACGAACGATCAATGATTTATCGAGTTGCACTTATTCGCTGGACTTCATGTAAAATCACTTCTTAAGCCTCTAGAATAAATAACTTCGTCACGCATATGTAAAACGAAATTTGTATGCCCTTACCGTAAGGGAGAACTTATGTATAATCGTGAAAAGACCGTCGGACGAATTCTGGAGATCGTGGGAACGTTCTAGTAAAGATTATACCGAGTCGAGAAGTAGAAAATGCCGCATTGGTCAGACGACCGCAGCTTCTGTCGGTCTCGAATTTCAACGGAATTAAGGGAACAGTCGTCGACGAACCATTCTTTCGTTTCATTGAGCAAACGTAGCTCTGTCGAGGAACAAAAAATTCTGGGACGCGTATACTCGTGCAAGGGTGGCCCTTCAGCAAGAAAATTTCACCCACCGCTGGAACCAATATTACATCCCTTGCAAAATGTAGAGGAAGAACAACGTTTGTAACGGACGCATATCTTGTTCGCCTGATCTTCGTGCAAAATGAGGCGGACGTGCTACGCGTTTGAAAAATGTGATTTACATTTCGCGTTATAGTTCAGCTTTGATCCCGACACGTAAATGTTTTGTATTAAATATTCTCGTAAATGCATGAAATCTGTGGTGTACCGGTGATAAAAGCGATGACGTGTTCATTCGAATATGCTACTGAATTCTTGGAAGGCTGGCCAACTCGTTAAGTATTCTACTTTGTGCGAATATCTAAACCGGCGATGCTGTTTCACTACTGATTTGGTATCAAAGTATGTTGTGAACTCTGCATCGTATGAACAGATGGCACCAGTTTGTTTTGACACAAATTGCGAAGAAGGGTTGAAATAGGAAAGCGAAAGTAGATGTTTTGGGAGAGAACCGAGAAATACTTCGGTGAGGTGAAAAATCGAACTCGAGCAAAAAAATCGTTAACAGTTGGAAAGATTTAAGAGTGGTGGTGGCTGATCTGTGTTTAGCTCCGTGTCTAATGAAAAGCACCGTTTGCCCGCTTTGAATTTCGCAAACATTCCTGGACGATGATGCTCTCCCGCTTTGAGCTACCGCGAATATTGCATCCAGAGAGACACGAGCCCGAATCTATTAAAAGCATTTTCGAATCTTAAGGACAAGTACCGAAAACAGTTCGTGTCAATTAAATGTTTAAAAAATATTAATCGTAAAATGAATAGATGAAAGGGCCACTCGTTTCTAAATATTTTTGCGTTAATTGTTTAGAGGACGGTAACGATTCGCAGTTCTTTATTTCGAGTCGTTAACGCGTATCAGGTTGACTGTTAATTGGCCCTAATTCGATAATCCGGTGACCTGTTATTCCCGCGACCAGTTTCCATCCGTGAGAGTTTTCGAAGCTATCGTTACTCAGTACAGGTAATTATACCGGAATGCAGTCGGTTATAACGGGGATGGAGTAAAAAAAATTGGCTCGTATAGGTGGTTCTTTTATCAGGGTTGATGGCCGCCGGGCTGGTCGATTAAATCGGTCCCGGGGTTAAATATTGACGCTCCGCCTGGGAAAATTCATGCGAACATTTATGTCCTTCTATTTACTTTGCTCGGCAAGTGCTCTCCGGTTATCACAACGGACTTCATACCGGAAACTCGACGTATATAAAAAGTAATAATAACTTTATTTTGATTGCAGGATAAGCCACTCTGCGGGGTAAAAGCAAAGATCAAAGTGTCGAACGAAAAAAGGAAATAATCAATGGAGCCGTGGAAACTACGAAACCTTTTCCACCGTTTCCCCATCAAATGGAACTGATATTCGCAGATATCGCTGTCGAGAAGATTACGCAGCGAGGAGAGATGTCTCTTCCGAAGTCTAAACGAGTCTCCTGGTCCTGAGTCTCGTCGATCTTCCTCGAATCTTTGTCCACCCGTTGCCTTTTTCGAGACGGACAACCATCCACGGGGTCGCCGCGAATCGAAAGACTGGATCGAGTTCGAGGAAGATAAACGACAAGATCTTTTGGAGTTCGTTTACATTGAAAATTCCTCGATCAAATTCGAATACAGAAGATCGAGAATCCTGAACGAACCGTGAACCATGGAGTCGAACTGGCACGCTCGCAAATTCGACTGTTTCTCTTCGGAGAAGGTTGAGCTTTTTTCAAAATCGGTGGACGACATCACGGCGAGCGACGTCGATCCCCGTCGGCGTCGTTGTGCGTTCTGCGGCAAAATGGAATCATCTTCACGAGTTTGCGACCTCTGCGAGCGGCTTTGTGGTCGGGCTTACGACCATTCGAGAACGGAAAGAAATATCGAAGAGCGTTTTAACCGTGCACCGAGGCGAGAAAATGCGACTACTCCCTGCAGGATATTAAAACGCGGCAGGTTACAACCTAACGCTTCCGTCGGTTACGTTTCCAACGTCGTGCGGTGGAACCCGAGACCGTGTCGTTGGGGCAGACAGAGACTGGCGATAAGCTGGATGATATTGTTCCTATCGTTAACGGTGTTCCCCGCGTTCGCGAGTGCGCAAAAGGGAACGAAAGGTTACTCCAAAGAAGAAGGAGGTGAGTCGATCCTACTCGTTTTACGTTCACGATACGAACGACAATGGCTAACGGGAAACAAATTAAAACGTTTAATGAATCGATCGGTGCCGAGTTGAACAAATATTTTTTTAATAGCTTTGTGATGGACAAATGAACAGCGAACGCATTTTATCACATCGGCAATTTCGTTGAATTTTCCGTGAACGAAATGCCAGAGTGAATTGAGTAGTTGAAAAATGAAATCGATCAACCCTGCATGCAGCTTGTTTGCCACTTCGGTTTCCTGCTTCTATTTAACTGGGTTAATGAATTGATCGGTGGTATCAATTAGATGTTGAAATAAAATAGAACGGATGACGCATGAAATAAATACATTTTTGTCTCGGCATCTCATGTAGTATGAAAATTCCCTGTAAATATTTGCAATTCTTGTCGATCACGCTTTTTATCTAACGCGATATCATATCGAGGCAAACTCTCTATTAGAACGAAGAAACTAATGTCAAGTACGGCCGCACAATTACAAGGCACGGCCTTATTTGCCAGAATCAAAGCTTTTACTGTTGCGAACCTCTTCTCGTTCGTTACACACGATTGCAAAGTATAAACACGAGAGTTAATCAACTAATTGCCAAAGTAACACGGAGGAGACTAGTCTTTCCAGCGAGGAAGAAATTTTTGCGTTTTTACGACAACATCATTAATTCACTAGGAAAAAATGAGAGTCCGTCCGTAAACTGTGAATCATCCCGTCTCGGCCCTTCGAGGGCGAAACCTTTTCACGAAATCCTCCTGTAAACTATGCGAGCTTTAATCAGTACAAATTACGTTTGTGCCAGAAAAGCCAGGAAGGTCGACCACCTCGTAAAAGGAAAATGGAATCCTTCGGGCAGACAAAAGAATCTCGCGGTTCGCTCTTATAAAAATACAACATGTCGCGGCATTAACGTTATGACGTGTTCGTCATGAGAATTACGTCTACCCGATTCTTAAATTAACGCCGGAGTCTCTCGAACCGTGAAGAGGTGTACAGAACTCGCGATCTCGTTTCGGACGCGAGCGTTTCGTGACTCGCGGCAGAGAAAGAGGAGTGCAATTCTGAAAAGTAAACCGTGTAGAAACGTTTGATTCGTTTCCGTCTGGTCGAATTAGCGAGGAAGAAAGCAGGTGAAACCAACTCGTGAAACACGATTCCGCGCTCGTGAACGAGTTATTTTTATTTTTTGATCCTCCGAGTGAAATGGAAATAAAACCGGAGTCGGTCAAGCGACGAGCGTGACGTCGTTCCCTGAGTACTTAACATCGGGACGAGTATGCAAATCCCCATTAATTTGTCTCTAGACGTATCTCGTAATCTCGTCTGCACGCGAACTCGCCGGATTTCCTTCGAAGACAATTAGACGCGAAATTCTTGTCCCTTTCGATCGCGATGACTCGAACGCAGTTTTCCGCCGTTTCGTCGATTGCCTTCGTTCGTTTTCCTCGTTATCGTGTTCCTCGCAGGGTTACGTCGATTCTCATTCATGTCTCCATTGGACGGTCTTCCACGTTAGGAAAATGAATTCGGGTTTTAATTAATTTAACGAAACGATAAATATCAGATGTAACAAAGACGTTTACGTCTCCTTTTGCGATCTTTATGACTGCTGGTAGCTGGATGCTCTTTGTTCTTCTGCATCACGCTCAGAATGGTTTCCGCGATTATTATTCTGACAGTTACGCGTATTCTTGGTGCAAAATGTAGCAAGTGAGAAATGAAACGTGTCTAACTGAACACGGGCCGGTGCCCGTGCCATCATCGTTGAGACATTTCACGAATTCTCGGAGGAGGAGCCTCGTAAACTTGTCTCCGAGCTACGAAAGGATGGCAGTTGTTTATTTTCACGGATTATAACGCTTGGCGGGCGTTAAGTACTTCCAGCGGAGCGCGACCAACGGACACGGATAGAGAGTCGCTTAAAATCGCGTTAACCCCCGGTTACTTACGCGTACACCCAGCGTCGACACTAATTATACATTCTTGCAGTCTAGTGCATACCAAGATTCCCGTACCTGCCAAATCCAATTCGTGCTTTCCAAATACAAACACCGAAATAGATCGGTCATTATTTACTCTCTCCTATTCGTCGTCATACGCGTAATACGTTATGGATGAATCTATTTGCATGTTGCTAATCATGATAGAACATTTGATATAATTCCATACGATGATCGATGGAACGATTGACGGTTTACGCGATGATTCGTACGCTATTTCAAATGATATTAATTCCAACTCTGTTGAACAATTGGAAATACATCGCGAAATGATAATCCTGTAAAAAAAACGATGAATCGCGGAATCAGTGGCGGGAGGCTCGCTCATAAACGAGAGGATGCACCAGCGCGAGAATGGGTTTTAAAAGCAAGATCGGTTCGTCGAACAATTCACGGCCGGATTTACCCCTGACTGAATTAAAAGCAAATTATTCTAACGAGCGAACGATCCGCTTTTAATCCTTTCGACCAGAAATGAAGCCCTGGTTCTGGTGAATTAATTAGTTGATAGATTCAGCGAGTTGTTTTCGTTACGATATTCCTTGCGAGTCCGCATCCGGTATATTTGATGGAACATCGATCATTTAGAAAGAAACTCCTGGTTTGAATAACTTCGTTCGCGGATACGCGTATAAAATTTATGCCTGGCTTCCTGCAGAGAACGGGAACAGGAATATGTGAAATGTCGAATGAGATATCGGTGCAAAATTCTATTTAATAAAATTCCTCTCTGAAATGTACTTTTAACAATGATCGCAGAAACTCATTTCTCTAATTGTTTACTACATACGTTTCATCGAGTATATAATGAGGTACAGTGCTTATTTGGTTTCCGTCGGTTGCAATGACGGTCGTCGCGTTTCTCCCGATTTCCCGCGGTAATTTCGAGACTCTTAATCAATCAGACACGACCTCGCGGTCGATTGACGTATTTAAACTCGTCTCGAACGGGCCTGCGGTGCTGTTAATTGTTTACTGGCTCCAGCCGCGTCGCGTCGGGCTCGGCCTCGATGCCGTTTAACGCGAAGAAACATCGCCGAGGAATCCAGATGACGTATCCCTTTCTCACCCTTCCGTTTGCTCAGAATTAAACGCGTATTCGTTCAATGATCTCTAATGAGATTCACTCATCCCTCGTTTTGATAAAAACAACCAATCCCGTTCGACGATCCGTGTTACGTAGTTCATCCAAACGTTGTCTGGTTGAATAGTAAGATTCTAGTGCAGATCTCATTTGAATAAGAGTATCAGACGAATCCTTCTGGTTAGAATTGCAAAATGTATGCAAACATCATTTCGATGAAAACAACAGATGAATAGTTGTTTGATTAGTTTCGTACTACAGCGAGCAGGGTCGAATCGAATGGATGACTCGATACAGTGGATGCAACGATCTGTAGGCGATTCACGTTCTGAAACGTCGCCCCGAATCGAGTTCGGTACCTCTTTGTTCATATTCCCCCGTTTTCACGTGCTGCAAGTCGGCAGAAGGATTCTGCGGATGTCCGAAGGGAATCGATGCCCTCTCGAACGTTTTCGTCGTTGATTGCCGTCGAGTAACGAAGAACTGCGATTTCTTCGAATCCACGCTCGTTCGCGAGATGCTTCGCTACCGGAGTAATTCGGACAATAAAACGCGCACATCGGAACAAAGTACGCAGGAAATTTCGCTGGAAACTCATCGAACCAGTCGGGTCCGGCCAATCGATCATTTACTTAAACAACGTAATCATTCGCGAGGTTCCAGTTTCCCGGTTCCCTCAGGTTTTAACGGGGCGGCTCTCTTTTCGAACACAGGACGTTGACTCGCAAAGGCCGCGGCGAGTAAAACGATGTCGGCGTCGCGACGTCTTAAACTGGAGCACGACGCGATTCCGCGCACAACTTACCCGTGAAATAATTAACTGGGATAATTGCCTCGCCTATTCTCCCCGAGCCTCGCCAGTTCCACAGTTGACAAGCTACTCGTTAATTTCCAATCTCTACGCATTTCTTCAACCCCCCTTGCACAAGCGTGTTTACAATAATTATATCGTTTATCTTGTCAATCGTTATACGAAGCGTCGTGTCAGATAATTCATTAGTACAAATTAATTACTGCGTTTGTGACGTTCTATCAAATATTTAAGATCAGCGATGTGCAAGCCAAAAGGTACACAATTCGAAATTCGAGAAAATTTGTATTGGGTCACGGCGTATTAAAGAGTTAAAGTGTTCGAACCGGATCGATAGGATGGCCCGGGATCAGCGACCGAATTTTGCGTCAGCCTATTTAACCGTTCACTTTAGAAGCCAGGAAGCCTCGTTCTTCTTGTCACTTGGACATGACTGTAACAGCCGGCTTTGCCTTTGTACGAGTACAACATTGCAGTTACCATGGGAACGTTGAAATTTGTTGGGCCGACATCAATCATCGCGTCGTTAGCCCAAAGCAACGAGGCGTTCATTAACAGAGTACGTAATGCACGTGCATTCGGTGGCTGGCTCGTTGACAGACATTAAACAACATTAACGACGGCGCGTCCATTCAATTCTTGTTTTCTGCACTTTTTACTCTCGCCTAATTATTCCCGAATAGATCCATCAAGATTTTTATACCGAGTCATTTAGCAGATGTAAAATCTATTTGATGAAAACATTTATTTCACGTTCCAATGTGTTCGCATTTGATTGCATTATACGTTCAGGTGTTCTTGTATACACATTTTCTGCATGTTCCTTTTTTTTTAAGGATATATTGGCTATACAGTCAATCCCAAACGTTTATGCACTTTAGAAACGCATTTCTTAAAAAGAAATCAGACGTCGGAAGAACATTGCTAATAATAAACAACAAAAAAAAATTTTCGATTTTTCCGAGATTTTTCCAAGGGGTACCCCTTCAGATTTCGCGAGATTTTCGTTTTTTGCCAATAACTCCCAAAAGGATGGACGTAAGGGAAAGTTGTTGGGGGCATTTTGTAGAGGACGACGAGATCTAC